CATGCCTTTATTTAGACCTCTATAAATGGCCTTTGCCTCCCACCTCTTTCCTCTATTTCCTTTGACTTTCCTCCTGTCCCACTATCATGCTCAGTTTTCATTAAGGTTTCAGTAATTCCTCTTGGTTACATTACCCTTGATCACACCCTACCAGGCCTCCCACACCCTCCTCACCACTGATTTGGATCACTTGTTGTTCCCTTGTCCCTGGGTTTGTTAACACCTCTACCTTTCCCCTCACCTCCCCCTCCATGTCCTCCCAGAACTGTTGGTCCTTGTTTTTTCCTCCAGATTGTTCATCCAGCCTATCTTATCTAGACAGACCTGCAGAGATAGTAACATGCACAGAAACAAGACTACAAAACCAAGCAACAATATACAAAAAAACAACAACAGCAAACCAATGATAAGAAACAAAACAAAACAAAACATAAGAAAGAAACGCTTGTAGTTAGTTCAAGGACTGTTTGTTGGTCTTTAGGAGTGTTTTCCAGTCCAGTCTGTTGGGGCACCATGCCCTGGCCCCGAAGTCCACCTTCGGCATTCCCTTGGGTCCTCGCTCCGTCCCCTGCTGTTCTGTTGCACCCACAGTGTTTTCCTCGGTGTGGCGGGATCAGATCGAGTGCAGTTCCCACCCTGTGTCCAGTGCTGCCCCCTGTAGGGCTGTGGGTCCTCACGTCGCTTTTCTTACTTGTGGGAAAGGGGGTCTCAAACCACGAATGGGAACCAAACGCTTGGATGGGTGTGGTCTTTCTGGTTATTGAAAAGTACTAGGGCTTTGGTAATTTGGGGGGGACTTGGGAAACAAAGGGGAGAGATTTGACACAGCTTCTCTTTGAGTTTGTCACCGATGCATTGGTCTGATTTTTCTCTCCCACCCCTTCTTCTCTAAAGATTTATGATATTCAGACTGGCAACAAGCTGTTGACTCTGTTTAACCCAGATCTTGCCAACAACTACAAGAGGAACTGCGCCACCTTTAACCCCACAGACGATCTGGTCTTAAACGACGGCGTCCTCTGGGATGTCCGCTCGGCACAGGCCATCCACAAGTTTGACAAGTTCAACATGAACATCAGCGGCGTCTTCCACCCCAACGGCCTGGAGGTCATTGTCAACACCGAGATCGTATCCTCGTGCTCAGGCCGGCCCACACTTGCCTTGTCTTCCCACCAGTATAGGGCTCTCGGAGGGAGACTCTCACACCCGTGGTCTGTAGCCCTTAGGGAGGTGGGGCCTGTGTGTGCCATGGTCATACGGATGCCCGGCTCCCCGCCCCTTCCCCAGGCAGTGAGTTGTTTCTGTTTAGAAGGCTTTTCCTTGGGCTGCTGCCCAGAGGAAGGGAGACGTGGCTGACGGGCCTGAGGGTACAGGAGGGTCTTTTCGGGGCCAGTAATCAATAAAACAGTGCACACAGGCTCGCCTTTTACCTCGCTCTCAGCAGCTTTTCTGACTACATGGAGGGCCGGTGCCGATCAGTATCAGTGCCCACTAGGAAAATTGATGTTTCTGAATCCCCCGTTCCCCCCGCTGGTGAGTTGAGTTTTGTGTGAAATGCTGTTTCCTTGACCACCGCCCTCCTAGTGGGACCTCCGAACCTTCCACCTTTTGCACACAGTGCCTGCTCTGGATCAGTGCCGGGTGGTGTTCAACCACACGGGGACGGTGATGTATGGAGGTAAGACGCTGTGTGTGCACCTTTCCTCCGGCGCTCTTCTCTCTCCATCCTTTTGGGAAGTGCCGCTAACTTGTGACTTGCAAAGAAAAGAGGGTTGGGCGGATGGTGAGGAGACGGACGGTAACCTTGAGCTGGGCTGCTTGTTGAGGGCCAGGCAGGAGGTGACGATCGGGTTTGCCGTGATCACAGGGGCAGGAGGGTCCTTGGAGGAGCCCCCCAGAGGCAGCGTGAACGCATGACGAGGAGACACCCAGAGGCCACTCGTACTTTGTGCACCTGCGAGTGGGGTGTTCTGCTTCTAATAGTTT